GTAATGATAATAGTAATAATAATAATAATAATAATAATAATAATAATAGCAGTAGTATTGCTTATGGCATTGTTACAAGTGTCGGAATGAAGTATGCATTATCAGGCAAGCAGAAAATAGACAGACTTATGCATATTTTAACTCAAGAATATGTACATTATCGCAACACAATAAGTGCAGTTTTCATAGTTAAAAAAGCCGTTAATTATTAATAATTAAATGATGGCTTACAGTTTTCTTATATTCTGTAAAGTAGTCTCTTGATAGCCCTCAACGTATTAATCTCTTCATATTTCGTCTAATGCAGGAAAGTAATGCGAAAAGATATTTTGCATTGAATATCAAACTTTTCAGGTGTATTTGTTAATATGGAATTATTCAGTATAAAACAGTATCCAATAATAGCATAAATTTAAAGTAAATTTTTAATAGTTTCTTCTGGTCATTTTTTTGCTCACTGTCCGCTCAATGATGGGTAGAAATTTGTGAAAGAAAACGACGAAGAACGGCTGCATTAACTCTTCAATTCTTCAAATTTTTTCTGTTATAACTGGAAGAAATATTTTGCATATACCATCAGAACTAATCTATCATACACTTCAATCAAACTATAACTTATATTATCGGATTAGGTATAAATAGATGATGTAATTAAAACTAAACATGATGGCCTAGCAAAGAGCACTATTACAAATCCATTTCTACTTTTCAGTTGTTTCTCACCGTACTTTTTTTAGTCTCAACCATTATAGCCCAACGAACTTCGACTTTATAATTTCTTGTTAGTTCTTTTGAGGAAATTCCTTAGAAGAAGTAGAAAAAAGTATATTTCTCACTCAAAATATGAAATCAAGAGACTACTTTACAGAATATAAGAATATATCAACTTTTTATGTTCCATAAAATTAAATAATTTTTTCTTCATTTAATCTACTTTATGGCTGAAAAATTATTGGTTAAACAGTACAAATGGATGATAAAGATTGTTAATTCTGCTAATATTTTCTAACATAAAATTTCGTATGGATTTGAATCTATACTGTGTTAAAATGCATCATCTCTATTATATCTTTCGACAACTATCAACAAAGATTGTTACTTATTTTCAGTAATTACTGTTTGATGACACTGTCTTCCTTTGTAGCATACAGAATTCAGCTTCCAAGTATTTTTTTAATTGTTAGCAAAATTACAGAGGAATTTTTTTGCTCATTCTCGCTTCATATTCATTATTCATTTATATTTAAAACATGTGAGATTTCAACAAACACTTCTTTTTCATATTTCTATTTTTTCTTCCTTTAATTAAACTTTCTCCCTACTAATGTGATGAATTAATTAATCCTTCATAGAATCTATATTAACGGGAAACATTGTAGAAGTTTCTACTGAGCAGAAAGACCACGCAGTCTTTTCATCTAATTGTTATGAATATTACTTTGTTTTTTTATCGTAAGATCGTAATTCCAACAACAGTTTTATTTTGGATGAAGTATGGGAAAATTGATAATAATAATGATAGGCGACGAAAAAGAAGCGGTAAAAATTGTTTTCGAAAGTTTGAAAGTTATTTTTTTATTCTTAGACTTTCTTCTTGCAGTCTTTGCATTACTTGAATAAGTAGTGAAGATGACCTTGGATCAGAAACAAGCTACACTTGCTATGATGATTCATTTTTATTTTGTTATGGTATGTAAATACATTTGCTTTTTACTCTAAGTGATAAGAAAGTTTTTCATTTCGAGTTCTAGAAATACAAAAGTTATTTATATCCATAACATTCTTTTTACTTTATATTACTGCACTTTCATAGTCTCTTATCATTTGACTAGTTCATACTTGTTAACCAGTGATAAGTATTTATTTTTTATTATTTGTCTTTCTGTGGGTGTTTGATTAAAAAAGGCATGCAATTTCAATGTGATTGCAATTGTAGGTTCATATGGTGATTGGAAGTACAATTGATAATGGAGTCAAAGGTCAGTCATTTGTGTTGACTTACTAGTCAATAAATGGTTGCTAGAGAATTGAAATGTTTTAGAATTCAGCAAAATATTTCTCTGGCAGCATATAAAATGAGTAAAGTCAATTTTAACTACAAGTTTTTTCAATTCAAAAAATATGAAACTCAAAATTAAGGTTTGTACTTACCTAAAATTTTTGAATGCTTGCAGGTGAACCGATATTAGAATGTTCAGCAGATAGCATGACTATTAATTTTACGACCGAAAAAGAATTTGAAGGACATGTTTACGTGAAAGGCCATTATGATGATAGCTTATGTCGGATGGATGCTACTTTAAAGAAGAATGTTAATTTTACCGTACCATTTTCTGTATGTGATGTACGGAGACAACGTTCGGTTGGTTTGTCAGCTTATGTTTCAATTGTTGTACCTTACTTCATTCATAACAACAAAACTACTTCATGCTATTCATAATGAGTGATTTTTCAGAACTCGATTACTCTAAAATTGATATAATTTTCAATACGAATAATAATTGAATTTTAGAGCAGTCCGAGAGGTCTTTACGTGTGCATTACTGTGATCATCACTTTTCATCCGGTACTTTTGAACTTTTGATAGAACTATAAAGTGAGATTATGAAAAGAAATAACTGAATTTTTTTTCAGATGTTCATCACAAAAATTGATAAATCATATGACGTCAAGTGTTTTTATACAGAAACAGATCGCAGTGTGACAGCACGGCTTGACGTTAGGTTATTTATTCTGTTTCCAATAATGGGCAAAAAGTTCAAATACGGAGATAAATAAATCTTAAACATTAATTTGATCAGGTGATTTGCATTTTTTTACACCCATTTTTTTCAGTTTGAGTGGCGAGCAACAAAAAAAGATCATTGTAATGATTGGTGATGAGAAGCATCATGTTGGTGCTCTGGGCAATGGTACAATAGATGATTTTGAGTAAGTCATATTAAATTATACGACACAAATTTTATTTTTTCGATGTAAAAATTTTTAGATTCCCTAAATACTTCCATCAAAAAATTTAGATTTCTCTAAAATTTCAGTTTAAAATTTTATTCTCACTCATTTGTCAGTAGTTGTTTTGCATATAATGTCAAAATGATAAAATTATTAGTACTGGCGCAATTTCTAATCAAGTAATCACGCAACAAATAGCACTTCCATCTTGTCGATATCAAGTTCTCATAGACGGACCTCGAGGTCCTCCAGTGAAATACACATCCGTTGGACAACAAGTATATCATCAGTGGTCGTGTGCAGATAAAGATGGAAGAGTTCCAGGTTTTTCCAAATATGCTATACTCAAAAATTGATCACAGTTGTAGTGTTGCAAAATATACAAAAAACGAGTTTAAAAATTTTTGAAATTTGATAAAATGTGTGCATTATTCGAAAGATAATTCATTTAATTATATGTATTTTGATTACAGAAACGAATTTATACTGTACTACTGTTCATTCATGTGTTGTCAAAGAAGAAAGTGGTAAAGAAGTTCAATTGCTAGACGAAAATGGCTGTACGCTAGATAGATTTTTATTGAATAATTTAGTATATACATCTGATTTGACTGGTGGACAGGTATCCCAGGTAAGAATAATTTAATTTTGTCAAATTCAAATGTAATTATATTTACTTCTATGCCCTCAATACTTTATCAACAAATATTTTTAGGTATTCAAATTTGCTGATCAATCATCACTATATTTCCATTGTCAGATACGATTGTCATTGAAACGCGGAAGTTGTAAGGTTGATTCATTGCCTTCTGCTTTCTAATTATTGCTCCAAAAAAATGGCTAGAATTATGTAAGCTGAAATGAAATTATATAATATACATTAAATGATAAGTCATGTGCTGTTTTAGAGAACAAGTGATGAATGTCCAGTAGGAGGATTAACACGAGGTAAAAGAGAATCGCCAATTAGTCAACAAAGCTTTTCTAATGATGCTATAGTAGTTGACGTATTTTCTCAATCGATGACAGTATTCGATATTGATGATCAAATAAGTAAAGAAATATTATTCTTATTACAGTTGCTAAACTTATCATAATATTTTAAATAATTATACAGCCTAAAATATGCTTACATTTTTGTTCAGTTAGTAACTACTTTTCTAAGATAATATTATTTAAATCAGTATTAGCTAGCTATATCCTTAACTTCCTTATAATTTGTTTTATTCTCGGATGTTTAAGAAATTCTTTGTAGTCCTATAAAGTTTAATTGTAGACGATCGTTCATTGCAAAAATTCGAAATGAAGCAACCAAATCGTGCAGTGTTGTGCCTAACTCCTATCTCATTCGGCTTCCTTATTGCAGTTTTTATTATGGAACTTCTGATTTCTACTATATCAGTTATTATCTTCTGCCGAAAATCTCATTATGATCAAAATTACTGTAGTGATTCATTTACAAATATTGTAAATAATCGTTGAATAAATTTAACGATTATAAGCAATATTTTATTTTATTGTTCTTTGTTTATTTTTATCTGTAGAACTTGTCATTTGAAGACATTCCTGCATTTACATTCCTATATAAATCACATTCCTTTTGTTGCCTTCGACTGTCATCTAATTTTCAGGTTTGTTTATTACTACATTCATATTTAATTGGTGATTTAGCCATGCTTTCTGTTACAAAACGTTTTGTTTTAAAGATGAAATAAGAATAATAATTAATGCATGTTATAAACATTTCTCTACTTCTGAAAATACACTAATTTGCAGCTGAAAATTAATATTCATTACATATCAGTTTAATTGCTGATCATATTTTGCTGAAAAAACTACAGTAATAGAATATTTTTAAATTTATGTTATATTAATTGCAAAAAAGACTGTATACAGTTTTTCTTTTTCTTCGTTTTTTTAATCTACTGTAGCACTGCCAGAGTTATGATCTGTTGACTACAAATTAATTTTACTTTAAGAACCAAAGAAAAAAACAACGATATTGTTTACTCCTTTCTGTTATTTTCATCGTCTTGCAAATTCTTATTGTAAAAGTTAAGTTTTAAGAAGTGTCTAAGTTTTTGGAAAATATATATAGCATAATTTTTTGGTGCTTCATTGAATATGATTCCTCATGAAGTCATTCGTTTGCATGTTTTCTGTATGACAATTAGATTTCTCGATCATGACTTTCCCTTTTCCTTTGATATCAGTATGTATTGGATGTTGTTATTAAGACGTTTCTTATAACAATAGCCTTTAGTCTTTTTTTAGTAATAACTAGAAGTTACAAATAATTTAAGGCACAAATGATTGAGTATATTAAGAATCAACTTAGAAAAGTCAAAATAAAAGATCAAGTAATTACTGTGGCATAAAAGCTATCTTACTCCTCTTTAAGATCAGTTCTGATCTTCGAGATTAGAACTGATGGTCATACTTGTGATAAAGAGTTTAGTTATATTAGTTTTGGCAAACATTACAAAATAAGTATGCTTTGATCAGTTTTAGATTTGTGGAATAATAATATCATCGTGCTCTCACTTCTATTAACTATATTTATTAAACAATAAAATTTTGTGTAATCTCTGTCCATCATTGATAAAGTCACAAGAAAAGTAAAACAAAACCCAAGAATTAGTATATGATTTATAGTGGTATAAAAAGAAGCGAGATTTCGCCAATTTTGAGTAGAAATAAATATGTACATATTTTGAGTAGAAATAAATACGGTACATAATGATTTTCATTATCGTATACTTTTTGTTTCTTAAATTTCCATTCTTTAATTGTCAACAACACGTATTTTGAATTCCATAATTAATTTGTTGTAACGGAAAAACATTTCAAAAAAAAAAAAAAAAATACTGCAATCATGCTCACAATGTTAATGAATGTGTAGTTGAGCACAAAATAATACAAAACTAACCGAGTCTCTTACAGTGATCTAACAACTTTCATTAGGTAAACATTTATTTAAAAAATCATATTAATAAATATTCAATCAAAAATACGGATCAGCTTCAAATTAAAATACTTTAGAGAACCATTTTGATTTCATTTTATAGTCTCATTTTATTAAGCTTGATTTCAGTCAACATGAAAGATTCATAAAGGGACGCAAATATATCTTTGAGCTTCAAAATCAGATAAGTACTTCGCCGTATTAACCTGTATTAGTTTGGTGCTTTCACGATATCATTTGCTGATTTCTTTTAAAGCTGTTTCCATCTCGCTCTGAAAGTAGTCAATCGGTTTCTAATGCTGAGCTCATATTTTTAATTTTTCTTGAAATTCACACTTTCAATTAATGGATGGGTTACGTTTCGACAATTAAAAAATATTAAAAAAAAAATCTCATTGCAATTTTTTTTTATTTTATGAACTTTATGAACATACTTCTGAAACTCTAAATCCATAATGAGTAAAGAGAGAAAAAATTAAAAAGAGTCAGTTCTGAACAAAAACTGTTACCTGCAAAAGTCTTAGATCTTTGACAGCATTTAAACGTGTTAATCTTTCTGCTGCAGTATTCAGTTGTTCCATTATATCAGTAATCTCTTCTTCATTATTTGTAGGCTCACTTAAAGTTTTTGATTAACTTAAGCTATCAATTATGCATCAAAAGCAAGTAAAAAACAAAAATAAACTTTGACCTAATCTCGATACTTGCTGTTTGTTGCTGCATTTCATATTTCCTTTTCCACACTTCGATCTCCGCTGCATATTCTAATACTTTTCTGAAAAACATTTAAAATGAATAATTAATATCACATATTTTGCAACAACAGCAACCACTTTAATTGTAAAATAGATGTTAAAACATACACCTAAAAACTTTTAAAGTTTTATAACATCCATTGTTTTAAAGTTATACTTTATAATTCAAAGAAAGTATTTTTATATTAATTGAAACTGAAATTTTACCTTTTCAGCTCATTTTCAGAATGTTCTTTTTCTTTAAGCCGTTGTTTCAACTGATCGACTTCTGCTTCCAATAACTGAAATTTCATGTGAAAAACTTCTTTAAAGTAAGCAAATGCTACAAAAATTTATCAATCCTTCAATATAATAATCATGGAAATATTCATAATATTGTGGAATAACTGCTGACTTTTTAGCTAAATGAAAAATGCAATAAAACTTTTATAATTGTTAAAAACAACAAATGATTTTCAACAAAATTAAAAATATTATCAAATTAAAGGCATGAAAAGACATTTTTTAACAAGCTTCACTAAGCAATACCATCCATCTTATAATTTTCAAAGCTTCCTGATATGACTTCAAACTTTGATGCAATAAAACAATTTTAAAAAGTTTTTAACTAAAATAAGTTCTGTTTTACCTTGTTTTTTTCCATTAAAGTAATCATTTTAGCGAAATTTTCTTGAAATTTGAGCGCTTCATCTAAAAATAATCACTCAAAAATATTTGTTGACTTTCTAGACTTGCTGAATCAGTGCTAATAAAACTTAAAATTATAGTGAAAAAACTGCAAGTATCATTTTTTTTAAAAATATATCCTGCAAGATCAATAACATAAAAATGATTTAATCTTTGAAATGCAAATTATATTTCATTTAATTAATGCTGTTTTTCAAGATATGAAATTTCAAAACCAATGGAATCTCATGAAATATTAATAATTTACTACTATTTATTAGAAAAGGCAAAAATGTCATTTCCTTTTATATCATTTTAAAAGCCTGATTATTTGTAAAGCTGAAATTTTTGCTGATATATCTTTTCATTAATTCAAAACAAAAAAGCATAATATAACAAACACAAAATGTGTGATGTTTCGATGAAAAAAATTTCAAAGCTGCACAATGAACACTTTTTTAAAAATAATTTCTTAAATTCTGAACTTTGTCAGTGTACAAACCTTCATTTTCTCGCTGAATAGCTTCAGTTACTGGTTTCTCACATTGAGATAAGGAATTAATAACGTTTTGGTAAGCATTTTTCGTATCAGTCTGTAAATTTTTAATTTTAGCTTCAATCTTTAATTTTGTGGTCTTGGTAAAATTTTAGACAAGGATTATATAACATTAAATAATTGATAAACTCAATTTTATCTTGTTCTCGGAATAAAATTTTGCAGAATTTAGAATGAAAATAAATGAAAGCGTATATGCATCAAAAAATTTGAATAAAACAAATGTTTCTAGAAACAAATTTATTTGCTTACGGTATTTTTTTTCCTTTCCTTTTTTGGGATAGGAAAGCAAACAAGTTGTAAAATCTATAAAACTTTTAATCAGCAATAAAACAATGATAATATCTGAGAACAAATAAAACAAGAAAACTTTTAATGATATTTTCTAAATAAAAAATCTGACCGCACATTGTGTTGGTGTATTAACTGCAATGCTTCGCACCATTTTTGGTGCAGAACTTTTTTTCGTTTCTAAATGTTGAATTTGCCCGTTGTTTACTTTCTGCAACAGTACAATTTAAAAAAAAAGATATACAGTTTTTACAAGTAATTACATTCTGTAGTAATAATAATAAGCACGTAAAGTAAACGATGCGATTGATATTACTCTGAATTTAATAACGAATAAATATAAGCTCGAACAAAAATTGTTGATGTTAAGGCGATAAATAACTAACAGAAGTGGGCTGGTTTTGAAGAAATGAATTTGAGTAAGGCTTAGAAACATAGGAAATTGGCGTGAAGAATCGATTACGACAAATGATGTTTTTTTGAAGATTTTGCACACAAGAAGCAGTGGAAGAACGTTGATGAGTTGGTGTGAATTGTAGCGACAATTTTGCATCAACAGAATTATTACCGTAAGTTTGGTTGAATGATCTAAATTAAAGCATATTTATGAATTTTTTTAATCTCTGCTTTTCATTCTTTAATTAATTTTTTTTTTAATGTATCATAAATGTAATTCGTGAAAATAAATTGAGTGCATGTCACATATATTAAAAATTAAGCTGATAATCTGAATCAAATTTGATTTTGATCAATAGCAAAAGTAATTGGAATGAATGCTTGTTATCATTTTATTTTCTCGAACTACAAATGAGTCTTTAATTTTAATTAAAAGATGAAAATAAATTGAGGGCATTTTTTTTAGATTAAAATTATTATCATTTTCAATGCTTTCTATGTGAATTTTTTTTTCTGTTGGTAGTATTATTAAAATTTTCATCTAAATTTTGTCACTATATTTTTTCGGGTAATGAGTGATGATTCGCTTCATTTACATCTACAGAAATGTTTACGTAGAAAGCATTGAAAATGGTAATACAAGAAAAGATTGCAGTAAACTTTTATGATTTGGATTAGAATCTTTTTTATTGAAATTTAGTGATTAAATTTATTGGTTTACATTTTTATAGGATGAAAAAATATTCACCGTTGCAGTGAAGAAGTGCGTCTGCTGCGAGCTCCATATGCGTAAAATGTCCGTAACGACAGTAATGACCCATTTGGCACTCGATGTTCAGTATTTTTTCCTCTGAAAAATTTCAAAGTTAAACCTAAAAATATATCTTAACTCTAATATCTAAAAATTAAAATTTTCAAAGATTCTCAAGGTCCATAAAACTTCTGTTTCAATCTTCAATTTCTATAAATATTCACTTCGATGGTAATACAGTTATTTATCATCTTAGCACAAACTTTTACCACTATAAAAATATACGCTTCAACAAAATATATACTACATTACAGCACAAAGCTTGTAAATAAATAAAGCAGATAAACTATGTCAAACTTTCCTTAATTTATTTTCAGTCCATAAAATTTCCAGTAATGAAAATACAGAACATCTTGACCTCAAACTTAAGGCAAAGCTACTTGAAGCAATGATAAAAATGTACAGAAGAAATATAATTGAGTATAAATTATAGAATGAAAAGCATATCGAGCAAAGACATGCAAAGTAATAATTGACCTCACCTGGTGGTGAATTGTAATGAGGAAGGTAGCATGTTTGTTTGAAATTTTGTCGCAATATTGAATAAAGATAATATGGGTTTCGAGGCAAAATGATTCAAATCAGTTAATTGTTGAAGTCTAGATTGAACAAAGTGGAACACATGGAATGCTTCCATCAGTGTTCCCATATAATTAATTCTCCCATTAGGCGACAGAAGTAGCTTTTTAGTTTGACTTATCAATTGAAAATTTGACGCAGTTCTGAATCAATTGATCAGAATATATGTGATTTTTGATACTGCACAATTATCTTCTTGCATACATTTCTCTAGGCATTCATAATTAATTTTTTTAATGTATACAATTTCTAGGTGCTCATTAATTTTTTGCCAGCATCTGTACAGACTTTTATAGCATATCTTTTTTTAAAAACATTAAAATGAGGGTAAGTAATTTAAGAAGTTTCAGATTAAAGTCAACAGCAATAGATTGAAGTAAGAATGTTAGAATCAAAAGTTGTTAATTCACGAATGATGCACACATATGGAACGTAAAAATGATTAAAAAAAGTTATTATTGTAAAGGATAAATTTGCAAATACAGCCTTTCTACGACACAACTATGCTTTAGTGAATAATTTAGCTATTAAAATTTGTCGAGAGGAAGAAGTAGCTGCTGTTTCTTCATCCTGAAGTACTTAGCAAGATGGTGCAGTTGCTTTCAACTGCAGATGTTGTAAATATTCAGCTGCTTTATGTAAATAAATGTGAATGAAGAAAGTATCCAAAACTCAATCAATAATTAGTAAATTACTGCTATTGACTGCCTTTTATAAGAATTGTCTAAGAATTCCGATTTGGAAAATAGATACCATTGTGATATTTGCAAAATGTAGTAGTAATACAGAAAACGAAAACAGTTATAACGATAGTTATAATTTTAAAAACGAAAATTTTGCAAACTTTAATTGAAATATAAATTTTAAAAAATAACAGCAATTACTTTTACGATTACTTACAATTACAAATGACAAGCATGAAAAACTATGTTTGCTACATTTTTGCGAAGTTCAATTAGTGTAAAACAACTGCTAAATTAGTCTTTTGTGCATTAGTAACTGTGGAAATAGCATAACTTTGTTTAGAGAAAATCAAAAATCTCAATGCAGTTAATTCGATTTATGTCTTTTTCACGTAAATCACTTCAACAATCATATTCTAATATGAAAAGAAGTTTTATGGCATAAATAAAAATTGTCTTTTTAAAAAAAGCATGGACTGTTTTTTAAAATAATCATCTTCTGTTGCATATTATGACTGTTTTTGTGATGATAAAAAATGGTACACTTATTGATATCTTTTAGAGCGGCATTTTACACTCTACTATTCTATTATTCTGATAGTTTAAAGAATTAAGTCAAATTTCTAGTTTGAGAGCTATAAACAACTCATGCAATCCACTTATCATTTAAAATTACGAATAGTCTTGAAGTTTTTATTTGAATTAAAATTATTCCGAATTCAACTAAAATGATGCAGGATTATAATCGTGATGTAATTTTGATCATGAAGAGATAAGTAGAAACTTTCCTTATAATGAAATTATTGAAATTCAGTTTCTGTTGCGTATTTTTAACCATAATACTATATTCATTCATATTTAATTAGACTTCAAGATGCATTGCAAGTTTAATAATAAAAACTAACTTTAACGTGCAAATTTAAAAAACAGTAATTATCATTCAAAGAAATATCATGTCAACTATACTGTTTATTCCTGCATCAAAATAATATTATTTTATTTTGTTTATGGAAACAGCGAAGAGAACATGAATCAACAAAGAGTAAACT